CCTTCAAAATGAACAAGATAGCTGACAAATATGTGTAGTTTGCTCATGTTGTTGGGAATGTTTTAAACTAATTTGGCAAGGGGGTGGAGCACAGTAGATGTAAAGTTGGGAGCAGGGTCCGATCAGATACAGAAAGGATGCTAGTGCAGTCAGTAGTTGGAGAATATACGAGCAGGATAAGGCACTTCATCCAGAAAGCTAAACTGCATTCATTTTAATGCAAGGAACTTGACTGTTAAGGCTAATGATCTTAAAGCATTGAGCATGGGAATACGATACTGTTGCAATAAATGAGAATTGGTTGGAAGAAGGACTCGCAGAAGAACTGGCAGCTCAATATTTCTGGATACAGAAGTTTGAGGCACGATAGCACAGGGGGTGTAATGAAAGTGAGGGTATTGCATTGTTGATAAAGGAAACTATCAGTGCAGCAAAGAAAGAGGATATTGTACAAGGGTTTTTAATTGAAGTCATCTGGGTACAGCTTAGAAATAAAAAAAAGGGGCAATTACTTTGCTGGTATTAAACAACAGACCTCCCAACAGACAGAGGGAGATGGAGGAGCAGATATGTAGGCAAAACACAGAAAGATGTGACAGAAACAGAGTTATAGTTGTAAGAAATGTAAACTTTGCTAACATGAACTGTGATCGCCTTATTGTGAAAGGATCAGATGGGGTAAAATTTTTAAAGTGCATCCAGGAGAACTTTTTGTGCCAGCATGCAGATAGTCCAATTAGAGATGGGCAATGCCAGACTTGATCCTAGGGGATGAAACCAGCCAAGTGATTAAAGTTTTTAGGTGAGCATTTTGGGGATAGCAAACAGAAGTCTGTAAGTTTCAAAGTCATTATGGAAAGGAATGAGGATAGTGCAGAAGTTAAGTATCTAAATTAGGGGAGAGGCTGATTTCAAATCATTAGATGTGATCTGGCAAACCTAAACTAGGAGCAACTACTTGCAGGTAAGTCTACATTTGGAAAGTGGGAATCATTGAAAACTAGTATAGTGAGAATTCAGAGCCAGTGGAGGGTAAGGACAGCAAGTCCAGGGAACCCTGGGTGTCAAAGAACATTGAGAGTTTGAAAAAGAAAAAGGAGGAAGCACATGTTAGGTACGTGCATTAAAAACAGAGGAGTCACTTCAAAGGTGTGCACATGTTGCTTAAAAAATACCTTTGACAGAGAGGATCAATGAAAACCCTGAGGTTTTTTTGTAAGTCTATTCAGAGTAAGAGAATTACAAGGGAAGGAGTGGGGCCTATTAGAAACCAAAGGCGCAACCTGTTCATGGAATCTAAGGATGTGGGTGAAGTCTTAAATGAATACTTATCTGTATTCACAAAAGAGAAAGACATAGGCCAGGGACTTCACTTGGAACGGTGAAGTTCTTGAACATCTTAAGATTAAAAAGGAAGAGGTATTAGGTGATTGAGCATGCATACAGGTGCACATATCCCCAGGGAATGATGTATTCTAGGCTGCTACAGGGGATAAGGGGTAAGATTGCTGGGGGCCTGGTGGACATATTTAATATTTCACCGGCCACACGTGAAGGGCCAGATGACTGGAGGATAGGTAAATTGGTTCCTTTGTTCAAGAAAGGCAGCACGGATAGGCCAGGTAATTACAGACCAGTTTGTCTGACATCAGTGGTACGGACATGATTAGAAAAAAATTCTGAGGGACAGGACAAGTCAACACATGGAAAGGCAGGAATTGATCAAGAATCGTCAGCATAGATTTGTTAGAGGGAGATTCTATCTGATTAATTTAATTGAGTTTTTTGAAAAGGTGACAAAATATATTGATGACAGTAGTGCAGTTGTTATTTATGTGGACTTCAGAAAGACCTTTGACAAGGCCTCACAAGGAAAGCTGTTCCTAAAGGTAAGAGTCCACAGGATCTATAGCAAGTTGGCAAACTGGATCCAAAACTGGCTTGCAAATAGGAGGCAAAGGGTAAAGGTGGAAGATTTTTTTTGTAATTGGAAGCTTGTGAACAGTGGTGCTTCACAGGGTTCACTGTTGAGACCCTTGCTCTTTGCAATGTGTGCTAACAACTTGGATGTGAATGAATGTGGTACAATTAGTAAGTTTACGGATGACATGAAAATTATTGGTGTTATTGGTGAGGAGGAGGATAATCTTAGGCTACAGTCTGATATTGATCATGTAGTAAATAGGGTAGAGCGATGGCAGATGGAATTTAATCTTGACAAGTGTGAAGTGATGCATTTTGGGAGGTCTAATAAGGGAAGAATAAGCACAATGAACAGTAGGTCCCTACGGAGGACTGATGAACAAAGGGACCTTGATGAATAAGCCTATAGATTCCTGAAGATGTCAGCACAGGTAGAAAAGGTGCTGAAGAAGGCATATGGGATGCTTGTCTTGATCAAGTGGGGTGTAGAATATAGGAGCAAGAAGTCTTGTTACAACTTTATAAAATATTGTTTAGGCCACAGATGGAATATTGTGTGCAGTCCTGGTTGCCACACTATTGGAATGACATGACTGTATTGGAGATTCACCAGATGTTGCCTGGGATGAAAAGTCTCATTTATGAGGAGAGACTGAATAGGCTGGGTTTATTTTCTTGGAGCAGAGGAAGCTGAGTGGGGATCTGATTTGAAGTATACAAGATTATGAGAGGCATAGATAGGGTAGGTTGTGAGAATCATTTCTCCATGCCAGACATGTCTAAGACCAGAGAGCACAAGTTTAAGGTGAGGAGCAAGTGGTTTAGAGGAGATCTGAGGAAAAAACGTTTTCACCCACAGGGTGGTAGAAATATGGAATGTACTACCTGAGTGGATGGTTGCAATGGGTAGATGCCCAACATCTAAGAAGCATCTGGATGAGCACCTAAAATACCAGGGCATAGTAGGCTATAGACCAAGTGTAGGTAAATGGGTTTGGATAATTTGGTATTTGTTGATTGGCATAGACATAGCAAGCTGAAGGGCCTCTTTCTATGCTGTATGACTATAACATCAAGGTTGTAGATTCTTGAATTTAAATTTACTTATTGGGAAAATGGTCAAAGTTTACCTTTAGATTTAAGGCAGTACAGTATTGTACAGTTCAAATTATGGTATTGATAAGTCTAAAGTCTAAAAACTGGTTATACTTAGTTAAAGATAATCACAGACACAACTCCAAGACATATCAAGATTCAGCTAGGATTTGCAATCAATTTCCAACCCCCTGCTAGAGAGTATATGCTTAAGCAAGGTCAGAATCAAACTTAATTTTAATGTCCCTCCTTAATAACAGCCTAGTACTCCGTACAGGTCACAGAAAGAAATGCTACCTAAACCAGATTTATGAAGAATTACCACCACCCATAGTTCAACTTAAATGAGTATCTTCAGCAGAAAGTAATTTGAGATAACAATAATGATACTGTAGAAAAAGTAGTAACATTTGACAAACTATAACTGGGTTGCTGTGCTTCAAAATGTAACGTGCTGCCAATTAACTTTACAACTAATAATTTTATTCTTTTGTGTTTAGTAGGAAAAGTAAATCTATTTTTCCTGCAAATCGAACAATTTAGTTTAAGTCATGTTGTTTGAAAATTTTTAATATTACAATTTCAGTGACACTACTAGTGCTGCACAGAATAAATACTTTTATCAACAATTGTCACAGCAGTATACTCAGGCCCAAATGTTTTGAAGGCTTGAAAGGAAATCATATGCAACCTCAATTCAATTCATTTGTAGATCCACATTAAAAAGGACTAATCTCAGTCAAGATCATCATTAAATCAGTGTATTTTCATCAAAATCCTATCTAGTCCATCAATGTGCTGTGGGAAAGAAATCTGCTAGCTTTGTCCAGTCTGGTTGTGACTCCAGTTCCACATCAATAATGGCAGTTTCTTAACTACCCTCTGAAACATAAACCTGATTATCACAAATTGATACAGAAATATTTAAAGCAACTATCATCGGGAACTAAGATAATGGTCAAATTCACTCTGACTTTCCCGGTCTTCAATTCTCTACTGAAACTGAAGCTTTTAACACAAAATTACCATGCAGTGTACAAACGTGAACGTTTAAATCCAGTAACTTAACAGCAGAATCTACTAATTAAAGATATTTCATGCAGACAATTAAAAATCTATAATCTAATTTTCCCTTATTATAATTTGAGGACCTATGTTATCCTGGAAATCACAGCCAACTACTGCCGATTCAGTTGCAGAACATGTGAGAAAATTGTGAACACTAGCATTCCTGGCCTGTAAAACGTGATCTCCTACAATGTTACAGATTTGCCCTACATATGTTGGCAAAATGTAACTGTGTATAATGCAAGGAGATCAGCTAAAATAGCTTAAAATGTTTTATGCTGTCTCTTGTTTCAAAAACTGTTTGCAATCAACGCATCTCATTCTCGTTCATCAACAGTTATCCACCAAAAGCGCTGCACAGAAATCGCTAGCAGTTCCTTCAAATCAAGTGAAACTACTTTAAAATCTAGTCCCAATTTCCAGATCAGCTGTTCAATTTGGCTCTGCGTGGGGGAAAGGGGGCGGTAACTATCACTTGACCAGAAACAAAACAAACAGGCAACACTGGAAGACAAGGGGGTAAGGGAGACTTTAGCAAGTCGAAACTATCGTGTGTACCGCGCCATTTGTAGGCTATGTCGGTTCCCCAACAGAGGAAAGGGCACAAATCCTGGGTCGCTATACCATCGCAGCCCGATCCCAGCATCTCCGCGATTAAAGGCCCAGTTCAGGCTGCAACATCCCGAGCGCTATTTACAAAAGCAGCTGCGGCAAGAGAAGCCAAGCAGAAGTGATAAGAGAAGCCGGTCCCGATGAATGACTAAAAAGACGACCGCAGGGCTTTACCTCTGAGTTTGAGTGTTTGAACGTATCTAGAAACAACAGCTCTGCCGCTGTGTCCGCCATGTCTCCTCATGCGTCACTTCCTTTCCAGATACTTCCGACTGCCCATAGCGCATGCTCGGTAAGGAGTATGTGGACGGTTAGGACAGACAGATGCGGTCGGTGTGAGTTGTGCAACGGTGGTTACATCGTGTACCTCAGTTATGGTTTTAAAAACCCAAAAGGAAAGTGCCATCGAGAATGAGCGACAGTTAGCAAACTATATTAATCGGATATCCCTTGTGTGCCAGGCTACAACCTGCAAACAGGGACTTTATTTTATCTATTCTTTTTGGGATCCTTTTGAAGGCATTGGCTGATTATATGGATTGAAGTAATGTACTGTGCAAGGATTTGGAGTGGTAGGACAGGAAACTGGCAGTAAGTAATGACGGAACAAAAACAGAAGTTGCTGGAAAAGCTCAACAGGTCTGGCAGCATCTGTGAAGAAAAAAAAATCAGAGCTAACGTTTCGGGTCCAGTGACCCTTCCTCAGAATAACGCTCGTTCAGGCACGATGGGTCGAATGGCCTCTCGCGCCCATCCTTGTGAAAGTGGTGGTGAGTTGCCATGTTTTTGAACCACTGCTGTCCATGTTCAGTAGGTACGCCGCACGCCCGCCAATGATGCCGTGATTGAAGAAAGAAAGCAGTATCCTTTGTCTCACATTGAAGTTGGCATATACTAGGATTCTCAGGGATCTTTCGCTTTCATATAGTATCAGCTCCCTTGTGTCAATACCACATTTTCATTGTATAGACAATACGAATTAAGAGTTGACGGGCAATTTAACTCTTCAAGCGCTGTATCATACATGGCTCGTTTGATTGTAACTTCAATGCTTTCCCACCTAAGCGCACACTCTCTCCACATCTCCCCGCCCATTCCTGTACCTTTTAACTCCCTCAGTCTGTCTTAATACATTGACTGCTGTTAAGGGAAGAGACTTTTAAAGCCTCACAGTTCTTTGAAAGGAAATATTTCTACTCATTTTTGTATTAAATTAAATGGTTAAAATATCACCCCTAGTCTCATCCACAAGAGGAAATATCCTTTCGGAATCCATCCACTTAGGGATGTAGGAACAGTGGTAGCCATTCACCCCATTAGGCTTGCCCCTACATTCAATGTGACCATGGCTGATCAAATACCTTACCCACCCTTCCCATAACTGTACACCATTGGAAATCAGAACTGTTATCAATATCCACCTTAAATATGCTGAGCTTTCACAGCCCTCTTGGGCAAAGAATTCCGAAGGTTCACAGCCCTCTAAGCAAAAAAAAGTTCTCTGCGTGTGGTCTCACTAATAGCCATATTGAAGAATAGACTAAAGGATAAGACCAGAAATATCAAAATTAGTATAAAAATGTTAGATTTAAAGATCCCATATCTGACTATATGAAGTATTCACTTCAAAATGGGTAACTTGTTAGCACAAATAGAAATAAATATGCCTGACTGGTAGCTGTTACAGTGAAGTGGTTGCAAGGTGATCATGGCCATGACCTCAATATTAAGGGATATTTGGCATTTTAAAAATGCAGGTATCTAGGGAAAGATGGTGACAAAGCTTTTTTAGTTATGGATGTCATTAAAGTAAGATGTGACCTTAGTTCAAAAGGCGAAGTTGTAGCATAGTTTGAGTATGGCTCAAAAATTGGAAAGATAGAAGGTCAGTTGTGGGAGTAGTTTATAGGCCCCCAAACAGAGACTGTGAAACAGCACTGGGACAGAGCAAACAGGGAGAATGGGTATATGAGGCACATATAAAGGGTACTATAATAATTATGGGTGACTTTAACCTGCAAGTATATTGGACAAATCAGATTGACAAAGGTAACCAAGAAAGTGAGTTTTTAAGAGAATATCCGGGACATTTTCTTATAATGATGCATTCTACAGCTAACTAGGAGCAGGCTGTTCGTGACTGGTAATGAACAATGAGACGGAATTAATCAGCAACATAATGGGAAAGGAGCTTCTTGGTGACTGTGATCAGAATAGAATTTCACATTCAGTTTGAAGCAATGAAGTTTGGTTCCAAGACTAGTGTTTTGAACATAAGTAAAGGTGACTAATATAGATTTGAAGGGAGAGCCTGCTAAAATAAACTGGAGGGAAGTGGAGATGCAGTGGCAGATTTAAAGGAGATGTTTAATAACACAGAGCAAATATTTATCCCAGTGAGAAAGAAAGACTGTTTGAGAAAGATGAATCATTGGTGAGTAAATAAGAAAGTTAAGCATAGTATCAAATTGAAAGGAACACTTTACAATTCTGCAAAGGTTGGCAGATTTTAAAGA